TAATTTTTAAAAATGTTGTATTTTTATATCATCTACACATGTTTTTATATGTTAGAAGTACTATTAAGAATTAACTCAAGCTCTTTATTTTATAATTAATTATTAATTAGTTATAGTCCAAATAAGATATTGTTTTATTAGAGTTTGTTTATTATTTAAATTAGTTATCTATTTGCAGAAGACGTTTGGTCATCTTGAGATATGTCAACAGAGCCTCATTTTGAGAAAACAAATTTATTGGCAAAAAAAAATCATATATGTGAAAAACAGGAGGAAGAGATGAAGCAGAGAGAAAAGGAAAAAAGAACAGGATAATTCGATCATTTGTATTAGTTATCCTGTCTGTTAAAAAAATCCAGCCCCCCTTTGGTTTCATTCAATCCATGTAACTGGATTAAAATTGATTTTTCAAATTGGATTGAGATAAAATCCGAATGAGATTTTTGATGTATTTTTTACTTATCAAATGTGGGATATATAAGCTCTCTCTCTCTCTCTCTCTCTCTTTATATATATATATATATATATGTTATCCAATCCTATTAAAGTTATCTCTCTTTAACTCGCGATCCAGACATATTTCTTAGAGTTGGTCACATACATTATTACAAAAAGAGGGACGATAAAGCTTGAACTTACGACTAAAGCTCCAACGACGGTGGTCACTATTAAAATAACTGCTAATTGACTTTTTTTTTATATTTTAGTAATTGTGATTTATATTATATTTATTTATCAGCAGAGTTAAAAGTAACATTATAATTTATGCTGCGAATTTGTTGTGTTGCATGTAGATCGAAACTTGCCTTATATGATGATCAGATAAATTATAAAAAAATAAGGATTTGGTGGAGATGATACCCACCTCTATTTCAATGATTAATCATTTATCATAAATTCAAATAAAACTTTTATATATGTAAATGGATCTCCCACCCAAACACTAATTTTTTTATTGGAAGAAATGCATTGCAAAATTTGGGTTCCAGTGAGACTAATTCAATAATAAATCAATTTCTATGAATTTAACTTGATCCCCCGTGCCTCTTTTTTAGTTAATCGGAATTTCAAGAAAAAGGTGATAAAATTTGAACTCACAAATCTAATGTTCAACAAACATTAAAATTTTTCCTCTCTCTTATCTATCTATATCCATATATAAGTTAGGTGTATGTATATATAGTAACATTAAAAAAATAGTAACATTCAAATATAAAAAAAAAATTACTATAAATTTAAATAGTAAAATTCAAATTCATGTTACTATTTTTTTTTAATATGTTACTGTTCATATTACTACTTTTGTTGAGTATGTTACTATTCATATACTATTATTTTTTAATATGCTACTATTTTTGTTGACCATGTTACCACTATTAGTTTCCTAAATATTAATATTCAATATTTTTTTTTTATGAATATTACTATTTTTTATATTTGAATGGTATTATTTTTTGCGTTTAAATTTGAGAGAAATAATTATTGTTAAGTATGTTACAGTTTTTGTTATGCATGTTATTATTTTTGTTGAAATGTTAATATTTTTGTTAAACATGCTACTGTTGTTATTTTTTAAAAATATTAATATTAAATGTTCTAATTTTTTATGTTTAAATATTATTTTTTTGTATTAAAATGTATTATTTTTTGTGTCCAAATTATTACTTTTTTTTATATATAAGAGGAAAAATTTTAATATTAGTCAAACTCTTAACCTATAGATATGAGAGATAAAAGATTGTAATATTAGTTAAACTCCTAAGATTTATGAGTTTTTAATTTTTAGTTTTATTTCACTTCTAAAGGGAAGAGATAATATGGTAAAATTGACAAAAAAACGGACTTCATAACAAATAAGTTTTCTTGACGAATTTAAATCCAAATAAGTTCATATTAGGGAACCGGCCTCCAAATTTCCATTAGAATAATTTTTTGATACCATATTTTTGATTTTTTATCGATTAAAATATTACACTCGTGAAACTTTTATATTTTTTAATTTATCTTAATTTATTATTATTTTTTTAAAATCATGATCACAAATAAATGAATTGAAGATTTATTATGAGTTGAAATAAATTTATGTATAGTATCAAAGCAGTATTCTAGTGCTATCCATAAAAGAAAAATATTATTTAAATCTAATTTGGAGGAATTATTTATAAATTTAATCAATTATAGTTGTTAAATTAAAAATGAGCACAACTTAACGTTAAAATTTACAACTAATTTAATGATTATAATAAATGGAAGTCTTAAAAACTTGACTTTATAAATTATTACCATTAAATAGATAGTGTGGGTTCTAATAAATAATGAGACTACAATTAAATCAATGACAAATATAATAACTACATCTTCTAGTTAATTTTTAAATCAAGTTTTTAAGTTTATGTAATATTACTCAAATAGATAAGATGTCTTAGCCCAATTCAATCAAGTAGCATTGTTAATTCTTAAATAACAATGCTATGGTGACAAAAATTTCTTACTAAATTTTACATCACAAGTAATGTGACATAATTTTTATCATATAAAAGTGAATCTCATTAATATTCAATAATAAAGATTATATCACATTACTATAATTAAAAAAATTTAATAAATATAACATTATTGATCCCCAAATGACAAATTCAAGTGGGGACATAGGACAAGACAACATAAAAATAACAAATATTCAATCCACATCTCCTTTAATATATATATTTTTTTAATAGATCATTAATTACATATTTAAGTGCGACCTAGCACGAAAGATTTTCTTCAATAGTTTGAGATAGATCTACAATAATCATAGGGTCAGAAAAAGGGAGTCAGGTGAATATCCCGACTTATCCTCTTTGAAGTTTAAGTCAGTATAAGATTGGAGGCTTGAGCTCAATATATCATGTATCGTGGTTTTAAATTGCATACCTTTGTTAATTTTTCTGTGAAATATTTATACCTAAAATAGTAATGAGTGCAAAGACTTCAGGTCTCATCTGGACATTCAATGTCTGACACCTTTACCCACAAAGATTTGAATTTTCTCTACTCAGATCTTCACATATTCAATGCTAAGATGATAGGACAAGTGCTCGGGAATACGCCGAGCACACATGGCTATCCCCGAGTACTCAAGTGTTTATGATCGGTGTCTGCCACCTACTAGTGTGTTCAACGCTCGAGGAAACAGTACCTCAGGGGTACACCGAGGAGATATACTCGGCGCAGTAGTCATTAATATCTAGCCATCATGACCGCAGACCTAGGCTCTGAGGGCGCAGAGACTCATTAATGGTACTGTCTCCATTACTCGCATCGCCATAAATAAATGGTCAAATCGCATTAAATGCGGGTGTCAGCTTGTATATTTGGCTTTTCCGAGTTGTCATCTCTCAGCTCAGCTCCTTGGCATCTTTTGGACTCCATAACGGATATAATTTTACACGTGTCGATCTGGGGGTTGCTGAACCACCTAGAGTCCCACCAACCTATTATATATAAATGGATCTCTCATTAATTAATAATAAATGATTTGACAAAAAAAGAATTTAAAAGAGAAATTTTATTAAAGAAAATCTCACTCCATTAAAATAATTTTGATAGGTTGGGCCATATCTAAATGGGGACAGATTATTCGATGCAACGATGATTTTATATCATTATTATCGCATAATGTAACTATCATGCTACACAATTTAAATAAAATTTAAAAAATTATAATGTAACTACATATCATTCTTATGAATGAGTGGGTCATATTAATTTTTTTTTAGTGAAACTCAGTGATCAAACACTTATTTAAAATATAATATATATTTAAGTAATATTTTTTTAATTTTATTTGAATTATATATAAATATATAATGGACCTAGTGTGAAGCAATCCATCCGGGAAATATGACCGTTAGAAAGCAGAAGAAAGGGAGGAGGCGCCGTGGCACCAAACTCAAATTACTCGTTGACTGACGATTTGGCTGTTAGTCTCACGTTTCTTTCCATGCATTTTATGACCGGCCATAGCCAGTTTTACTAAAATAAAATTTGTGAATTTTTGGTAATGTTATTTCTATTTAATTTGTTGGTAGATTTAATTTATGGACAGAATAAACAGTGTCATTGAATTGGCCCCGAGTTTCAATATTAATTGAGATTCATTATTAATTAATTATGATGTATTAAATTAATAACTTAAATTTAATTAATATTTTTAAGCTTATGCAACCTTATCCAAATTTTGATTTGATTGTTTTGGATGAAATTCAGCTGAAATATTACACTCGATCTTATATTATCAGTTAAGAAATTGTTCTTATATAAAATATCGACTCAAAAGATAAATATCATAATTCTTACCCGTCAACTAGAATAAACACCCCTAAAAATGGTCATGATTTATTGTTAAAAATATCATTTTATGCCTATAAATAGATTTAATTTATTCCTTAAATGAAGAAGGAGGGGAGCCTCTATATGAGTGGTAAAATTTGATTTTCAATCGTGTATAAAATAAACATATCCTCGATAATAATAAGGATAAATTTAAATTCTCTTTATTGAATTATTCCATAAGAGAAGTGTTAGAAAAATCAAAATGTATACTAAAAAAGAAAAAAAATAGAAAAGGCCCAAAATTAAAATGGGTTTGGATTTTAGTTTGACTCCTCCAAGAATTTGTAGCTAAAAGTGGAGCTTATACATGTTATTTATGTAATTTAATAAATTATAAAATTGGACTTTTGAAAAAACCTTAGCCAGATGGGTCTAAGGATGAAAAATTCTTATTATGGGAAAAAGATTCTATGGAAACCAGTTTAAGCCGTTACCGGTCACAGAACGCACATTATGCCGCACACTGCCATATTTTCTCAGCAAGGTAGGCTGAAGCGCACTCTGGAATGCAGAGCCGTCTCTCTCTCTAGAGCCATATACATTGACCATGTGAAAGGCCCTTAAAACCTGACTACACTGGCCGTTGAGTTTGTAGTTAATCGCAAACACTACTTTCCTGAGACATGGCGTCGTTTGGGGGGTCCCTTTTGATCCACATTGCTATACTCTTTCGCATTGTTTTGCTCTTTAGTCTCAAGAACCTCTCATTGGCCGACGACCCATCTGCCAACTTCGACTTAGAGCTCTCTTACATCACTGCTTCTCCTCTTGGTGTTCCCCAACAGGTCCTTTCTCTCTCTCTCTCTCTCCTATGTGTGTGTATGTGTTTGTGAGAGTACATTTTCGCAAGTGGGTTTGTTTTGCTTTTGCTTTTACTTTTGCTTTTTTCACAATGATTGTAATAGTTTCTTAGTTTTTAGCTCTGGATCTACCAAATTAGTAATTATGGCCTACTTTTTACATGTGGGTTTTTTGTATTTGCGGCTTGTTCGTTTTCGGAACTAATTTTTGTTGACTTTGTGAAAGCAATTTGAGTTTAGAAAGTGGGGTTTCGTTATTTGTGGACGACATTAAGGTCTCAAACATACTTTAATAGATGACTGTATATTTGGAGTTATAGTCTGTGGATGGTTATCGACTTATTAGTTTGTTTACTTTGTATTTTGTTTTATTTTATTTTTTGGTCAGGTACTTTCTATGGTATTCTGAAATTGGGGCTAGGGTATTGGTGAAATGGATTAGGTTACACCATCAGCCATAAATTTCTCTCGTTTTATATTTTTCTTAATGTTACTGACAGTAGTTTTTGTTTGATAGTACTCTTGGAAAAGAAAAATTTATGGCTGATGGTGTAGACAAAGGTGAATTAAAGAGTGGGTTGACCGCTGAGAGGGAGCACATATGTCATTATTAATGATTTTTCTACTTGTGGATTTTGTGGGTTTTTTTTTTTTTTGTAGTTTTATTGCAGTAAGTTGTGGTCCTGTGGCTAGTGTCGTAAATGAGGTTGAATAAGAAAGTGTCTATTTGTGTGTTGGTGACGTAGGTTGGGTTTCCATTTGTGGATGATTCTCTTTCTTTGTTTATTTTGCAGTTCCTTTTTATTTCTCTCTTTTTTTTTTGAATAAATGTGTCATTTCTTTATGAGTTTATGTCTTTAATCTTTGTTAATATTGTGAATGGTGTTAAATCAGACGAGTTCGTTTGAGTATTGTTGTAGTTGAGTTGGTTTTTGAAGTTCAATTTGAGATGATTGTGCTTCCTGATTTTCATTCGATAATACATACGTCGCCATCCATAATACATAGTACCATGCTAATAATAGTTATACTAAATTTTATATCCTTATTGCAGGTCATAGCAGTTAATGGGCAGTTTCCAGGACCTACTATTAATGTTACTACTAATGACAATGTCGTGGTAAATGTGAAAAACAAATTGGACGAAAATCTACTCATCACTTGGTTTGTTTCAAACTCTCAATGTCTCATTTACTTACCTGCGAATTATATATATTTTTTTCTACTTCTTGTCGTTTTCAAGAGTGGTGTTTGAGGGATTTGGAATTTTTTTGGGACAGGCCGGAATCCAAATGCGTCGCGCTTCTTGGCAAGATGGTGTGCTTGGCACGAATTGTCCAATCCCTCCAAATTGGAATTGGACGTATCAGTTTCAGGTTAAGGATCAGATTGGTAGCTTCTTTTACTTTCCATCACTGAACTTTCAGAGAGCAGCTGGTGGCTTTGGTTCTTTCATCATCACAAATCGTGACATCATCCCGCTGCCCTTCAACATGCCTGATGGGGATATAGTCATCATAATTGGTGACTGGTATACTCGAAACCATATGGTTAGTGGATGTTATGTTTGGAATGTTGAATGCGGTTTTATTTTTTGCGTGTAACATGTAGTGCACGTTTTCAATTAAATTTTAGGCACTGAGGACGTCCCTCGATGCTGGACAAGACCTTGGTATGCCAGATGGAGTTCTCATTAATGGGAAGGGTCCTTACAGATACAACACGACGCTCGTCTCAGATGGCATTGATTATGAAACAATTAATGTTGATCCAGGTATTGTATCTAAGACACTGATAATTGAGTCATTATTGCATTTGATCTGTTTCTACTTCCTTCCCTGTGGTATTCTTGGAAAACTTAAAAGTTAATTTTCAAGCCTTAAATGATGACCTGACTGCTGCTCTTCATTTTTTCATTTTGGTTGATTTGTTCGTGATTCTTTTCAGTAAACTCGCGGTGCTTAATTCTTTTGCAGTTTGGATATGAACAATTT